TTTTGTTCATGGGGGAATTTCCCTTCATTCCTGTCCTGGGTGGGGGGGATTTCCCTTCATTCCTGTCCGGGGTGGGGGGGGATTTCCCATCACTTCCTTTCCTGGGTGGGGGGGGATTCCCTATAACTTCCTGCCTTGGGGGAGGGAGATTTCCCTTCACTTTCTATCCTGGGGGGAGGTTTCCCATCACTTCCTTGGGGAATTTCCCTATACTTCCTGTCCTGTGAGGATTTCCTTTCACGTCCTTTCCTGGGGGGGGGATTTCGCTTCAACCTTCTGTCCGGGGAGGGGAACTGTCATGGGGGATGCAAAAGGAAATGAGAGGAAATCTCTACAAAGTGAAGGGAAATCTTCTCCCCAGAACAGGTGTCCCCATTGAGAGATTTTGCTTCACTTCCTTTCCTTTGTAACAATTTAATATTCTGGACTTCCCATCACTTTCAGTGGTCAGCAGGACAGACGCAGCGGATGAATCTCCATATCGGAGCCGCCATCAGCAATAAAAACTAAGCCAATATATTCCAATGAGAAACCGGCTGGGAGACCAGACAGGAAACTTAACGCGTTTCGGGGCCAAAACTCCCCTTTAAAAAAATCCCGATGGAAAGGATATACGATGTAGATGAATATAGTGCGCGGCCTCACACTGGGCACACATAAACTTGTTTTTTTATTTCCTCTTCCAGGACTATATTGATGCCCACCCGGAAACCATCATTTTGGACCCTTTACCCGCAATCCGCACCCTGCTGGACCGCTCCAAGTCTTACGAGCTCATTCGCAGGATCGAGTCCTACATGCAAGGTACGACGAAGCCGCCTCTCTCATGGCTACACTGCTTCTTATTTCCTCCCCAGATATAATGTAACAAAAAAATTGACTTATCTTGACAATTCCACTTCCTGTTTTAAGGTGACAACGCCGTATGAAAGCTTTTAGCTTCCAATCAGCGTTGTCACCCTTTGCTTAAGCGCCTTCACTGCAGGGCTAAGTCTACGTTGTGATGGCAAAGACTCTTCCCGCAGTATTACTATGTTGTCGCACGAGAAGAAGCTGGTCCCTCCCACCAGGTGACATCATAAATACTCCCGTCCTGAAAGAGACAGCACCAGCTACAGCAGAGGGTTGGCTGCGGGAGCTGCAAGGACTGCCGGGAGTTGCAGTTCTCCCATAGGGAACACCAGTGTATATGTCCTTACCCAGGTGACCAGAAGGAGCATTAGCGCGGTCACATGACCGCTACTAAGAATCATGTTACAGCTTTATTATACTTTTTGTCTGCGCATCCACCTGCATTTTTCAAGTTGGTGATAGGTCCTCTTTAATGACCAATACTTTACATC